AAGTTAAAAATTTCTCAACTAGACTTGATTAGTTTTGTGTGACTTGTAACTGTGCAGACACAACAAGAAGATTACTCGTAGAAACTTCCTGGTATGTGATTTCTGATGACGAGTGTCTGTATGAAGTATCGTACAGATGCGCACATAAAGTAACACCGTACAGAGCCGCTGTTTGTTGTTACAGCAATAATACAGTATGTCACAGTAATGTCAGTCTGGGAACACATCCATTTGTTTTTGGTGGCTGCTAAACGTAGGCTGTAAAAACACTTCAGTGGTTCATTTGCTTTAAAACAGTGAACTGCAAATACACTCTTTACAGTGTATCTGAATGCAGCTTAGGACTATCAGAATAATGTTAAATTCTAAACGTCCTAAAAGGATTGTTCTCGATCAGAGGATAGTGAGCCATGGATGTCTGCTTTGTTCTCTTGCACTTGGGATTTAAGTAGATTAGAAGGTGTCACTGTCTCTGACTGAAGGCTGGAAATTAAAATCTTTTCAGCACCAGTTGGATTGAAACCGCTGCTATTGGAGCTAACCAGCTTTTGAGGGACTAAGGTCAACAGATCCCAATTAGAGGTGACACAGTGTACCCTTATAGTGTGGTGCTGGATGTTTTATTTCCACTTCCCTTTCACTCTGTGTGTCTGTGTGTGTGTAATGGGTTGTGTATTGTTGAATGACTTGGAGGAAGGAGTTGACCTTCACCTGTCCTCAGGTCAGACAGTAGTGTCCCAAATCACGTTGTCAGGAGGTGTGGTGAAGAATCCTAAGAGCTACCCTGTGCGTGTGTGTGTGTGTGTGTGTGTGTGTGTGTGTGTGTGTGCATTGGGTGGGTGGGGTGTATCAGTAGGTCAGCTTACTCAGTCATTGATCACTGGGGTCTCTAGAGTATGACATTAGTTGAATGTCAGCAAAAAGATTAACACAGTATGTCTACAGAAAAGGTGGAGAGCAGCAGCACATTTAATCCTGCACGTCTACATGGTCACTCCCATTCATCGATATGTTTGCAATTATTTTAATGACTTGGCCCTGAATGACCCTATAAATATTTATATAAGGCATCACTGGACTGATCATCCAAATATTACAGCTTAAAGGTTATGGCTTTCATTTTTACTGTTTTGGCTAAATCTGACATCTATATCATACCGATGTTAATTCATGTGTATTGTCATGGATAAATAATAAAGTAAATTAGGAGAGAATGTTAACATAACTAAATGTCACTGCATGTCACAAACATAACACTAAGAAAACCCTATAAGGTGAAAGTGAAGTGAGGTGATGGACAAGAGGTGCAGTTTAAAAATATGTACAAAGTTGGTGGTGACTCCTAAATGTGGATAAAATCTGCTTGTGTGTGAGCTCAGTCTCATCTGATTTCACATAGATATTAACCACTGGTTCATGGAGGACAAAAATAACATAGGTTTGTTCTTCAGCTCCAGGAGGAGGTGGAGTTGGCAGGTAAAGGTGTGCGATTGTCACTCTCGCACCTCATAAAGCTGCTTTAGGCTGTTCATATACGACTGGTCTTTGGTGCATCAGAATGTACAGTAAATGTAAGCAGCTGTTTGTTTGAACAGCATGGATAAATGTTTTTGTGCGGGCCAGTTTTTTCCCCCACAGTTTTACAATATATAATATTTCTACATTCATCCATGTCACGGAAATGTAAGAAATGTACAGGCATTGTTGCTCGTCTCTTTTTTCCTTCAGTGATTTGAGTGGGCTTTGTTTTTATTCAGTCATAATGTTAGTTCCTCTGCTTTTTGCTGCTAAAAAAAAGTTTTATTTGAACTTGTAGTATTTCATTACATGAAAGATTTCCTTCTGAAGTGTCGTACTGCGCTGTGTGCCCATCTGAGGGGAAATTTCCTTCATAAAACTAATTACTCTTCATTTAGTATTCAAAGCCCCAATTGACTGCACTTTCATGAATGTAATCCTCAGTTTGAAAGATGGATGATAATAGTTTTTCATAATGTCCTTTATTGACACGTGAACATTTTATTTATAGCAGGGATGAAGTTTTTTAAGTTAAGCCTTCGCACTGAACGTATGAGTTTTGTTTTTTATTCTTTTATTAAAACTATCCACGTATCATCATTTGTTATATAAAACCTCTCCTGAATTGTTGCTTTTTGTCTTTTTTATGTTGCCACTGAATTAATATATACAGTAAGCAACATAATCTATGCGCAGGTTAATTAAAAGCAGTATTTCTCTCTCTATTGAGGAAGTGCCTTAGGCCCCCAGAATAAGAAGGGGCCAAGGTGAATTGTATTGTTTTCCTTTTTTGTCCTCCAGATAAGAGGAAATGCAAGCTAAGAAAAGGGTTGTAGGAAATTGATAAGCTTACATGTGCTGGAGTTTGCATTTTAATTAAGCCTTTTGTCTGTGATATGTTGTAAGCCTGTATGTCACTTGCACCATTTTGCATCCCCGGCTGAATTTAACAGGGTGCTTTAAGAGAAAGATTAAGATGAGCCATGATAGCAGATGTGTGACATCGGCTTTATTGTCATCTACAGCAGTGATGGTAATTGTATTGCCCACTGTATCCACTGTGTGTGGCAGCAGCAGGCTGTTATCAGGCAGAGATGTACGGGAAGATGAAAAACTGGGGAGGGAGAACGCAAAGAATGATGTGATTTATGCTAACATACTGGCAAGAAGGAAAAGGATTTACTTGGCCCTTTGTGAAGACTGATGCCATTACAGTAGATCATGCCTTGACGCCTCTGTCCCTCCTCTTTTGTGTCTGTACCTTTAATCCCTGTTCTCTTCCCTCTTTCTATTTACCTTTGTCTCTACCTCTGACTACTCCGTAATCTCTTAGGAGATGCTGTTCATTTATTCTAGGCCTACACTTTCATCAATTCCATCTTGCTCCGGTAAGACTACTTAGAATTAATACCTGGCACTGGTGAGTGTGTGGTTGTCTCTATCCTCTCTTCAATCTGCCCTACATTATCATCCATATAAATACATTTAGGTGTACATACAGAAGGCGGTGGCAGATACGCTGTCAGTTCTTCTAGAATGTACTTCATTATTATTGCTCATACTTGTGCATCAATCTTTACACTGCCTTTTACCATTCACCAAAGCACATCTAAGGCTACACACATTTACAGCGGGCAAATAAGTGGCTAGCTTTTTCTTTGCTAAGTGTCTGTGTGCTAAACATGAAGCTACAGCCACGATGAGGATAACTTACTACCTCTGGCTAAGAAATAGTTAATCCCATAACCCCCATGTTAAACTAGATGTTGTTGCTTGTATACAGTTTATATATGTGGATTAAGTAAACATGATATAATGTTGTAATTAGTGAGCAAAAGGCAGGTAGATAGTTGTTTTTTCTACCTTTTGAACAGTCAGGGTAGCTCTTTCCCCCTACTGGCTGCCTTTTGTTACAATTGGTCTTAAAAATCCATCTGTAAATGATGTACATTAAATCCAGGTGATTGGAGGACAGTGAGCTGTTGTAACTTAAATATGATTCATTTACTGTACGTCCATACAATATCGTCGTCCGCCCCAGCACTCTGCTAATCTACATGTTCAGTCTGTTTGAACTAAAGGTTGGTGAGGTGGTTGAACACCAGACTTGTGAAGGAAAAATGGAGCCGCAGCGGTCACAGCTATACTCTGCTCGGCAGACACAACTTGCTCCGGAACAAACACTACAATGTGGGGTTGTTCTTTCACACACATGCACACGTTTCTTGCTATTTATCAGCCCTCCTCTCTGTATATTTCATCAAGGCGAGGCCAAGCAAGTGCTTTCTCTTGTTCAGTGCCTCTCACTCTCAGGGAGAGGGATTTTTTTTTTTTGCTTCTCCCTGTGACAGATTCAAGTGCATCAATTTTCCCCTTGCTTTGAGAAAGTGACTGCACAAAAGGTGACTGCTACACAGAGCTAGAGTTGGTTCTGCAAAGACTGGTTTGGACTACAAAGGTGGATCATGGGATGGCGTGAAATGGCACAAATACTCTGAGCAGGTTCTAGCAGAGAACTTGAAGAGTGCTGCACCTTTCACATGTGACGTGCTCTATTCTGCTGCAACATATGCCAACATAAGCTGTCAGTGCATTTCTCAGCCATTTTGACTTGTAGCAGACTGATGTTTGTCCTCTGCTGGTGTATCCACCTCTGATTTCAAATCTTTTACTGAGTTTATTCTTTAAATAATACTTAAATTACAGTATAAAACTCTAAATCTGCTCTGTCGCATTTCATATATAAACTTCCCTCTCCATAATACTCATATACAACTTGTATAAAAGAAGTGGTTGGGTCCTAATGAACAGAGATTCTGTATATACAAAAATGAGGAAGCATCACTATGGATTTCAGCAGCAGATCAGACATGTTAGATACACCGTGAAGCACACACACAGGTGGCTGACTTTGTGTGACTTAGAGACTTGGGAATCTTTCTTAAAGGATCTCACCTGACTTACAGCCCTGGTCCACTTAAAGTGGTTAACCTCAAAGACAAGGCTCCAGCAACGGCTGGATAATCAAATGCCTCTTGCCTCCTCATGTCTGTTTACAAGCTGTACTTGAACACAGCGCTGAGACTCCGGCCTGTGACCAGCTGCATCGCCTGATGAAAGTTAAATTAAAATTGGACTGGAAGACTAGTTTGAAGTTGGTGCTTGGGAATTACTCTTGACCTAAGCTACATTTAATTGCCTGGCCTCACTGCTTGTGTTAAGTGGATTATCACATTTTTGTCATATTTCCTTAGTGTTTACTGCTGTAATGTTTTTGCACTGCATGTCCTAGAGATCACTTTTCAGTTAGTTTGTGTAAATGTGTACCTAAAATTTGTTTAAAATTGAAAATGAAAAGGCTTTCATAAACTGGGAATTATGATTGCATTAAATTAATGGCCAACAGACAGCAGGAGCAGACAGTGTGACTGCTTTAACTTTATTTTGGATTTAATGCTAGAATGTGTCCTTTGTCTCTACAGCAAAGAAGACGTGTGCAACCACAGACTTTGCCTGTAAGAATGGACAGTGTGTTCCTGCTAGGTGGCGCTGTGATGGCGAGCAAGAGTGTGTAGATGGATCCGACGAGGCTGATGCAATCTGCAGTAAGTAGCCAGACATGCACGCAGAAATAAAAACACAAGCACTCATGAAGACAACCACACAGATATAGACAGAGGGAAGGCCATGTACTGTACACACAGTCATATACACATACATGCACACACATTTGGCTTGGTTCAGATGTTTAAAACGTGCATATTCATTCATGTATGTGTGTGTTCTTAATGAAATAAAAGTTAAAAAATATATATAATCCACAAGTTTTCTGAAATGTAAACGCACATAAATTACAATAATGTAATCTATGTTTAAACAAGTTAACCTCCACACACACATTTACTTCAGCTTAAAGCGCTGCCAAGGTTGCTTCTCAGTGTGTCACATTTTGAAATCTTCCTTGCACATTGCCTCAGAAAAATGGCAGCATACAATTTATCCTGAAGGAGGGTCGCAGGGGGCTGGAGCCAATCCCAGCTGACATTGGGCGAGAGGCGGGGTCCACCTTGGACAGGTCGCCAGTCTGTCACAGGACTGACACTTAGAGACAGACAACAACACACACTCACTCCTACTGGCAATTTAAAGTCACCAGTCAACCTAAGCTGCATGTCTTTGGACTGTGGGAGCAAGCTGGAGTACCCAGAGAGAACCCACACAGGCACAGGGAGAACATACAGACTCCAAACAGAAGGGCACCGCGTCGGCCGAGGCTCAAACCTGGAACCTTCTTGCTGTGAGGTGACACTACACTAACCACTGTGCGACCATGCTGCCCTTGGTTTAGTCTCATTATGTCTAATCAAGTTGTAGTATACAGTAACGTACATGCATTAGATGAAACTGAAATATGCACGTTATATGTCTTCATATAATGTGATCTCATCTCATCGGTTTTTATTTTTGTGTGTCTGTTTGATTTCACCAAATTAATATCACACTGGACTTTGTTCTCTCTACTGTTTCTGTACTTGATAATGACGCTGTGCCATCTGATCCTCTCTCTACCAGCCCAGCAGCTTGTATAACATCCTCTCTTCTGTCCTCTTGGTCTCTTTCCTGCTTTATGTCTTACACCTTCTGATCTGAGTTCAGTTTAAGTAATGCCTTTGATTGTATTGATTTTCCTGGGAGGGAATCGATGGGCTGATCCCTGAGAACTCTGGTTGACTGCTGATTAACTATGGACCTCCTATGACGCTTCACACACACACACACACACACACACACACACACACACACACACACACACACACACACACACACACACATGCACTGTAAGTACATATATA